AAGTGGGCGGGCATCCCGCGCCTGGGGCGGAGAGCGCCTCACGTCACAAGTTCCTAGCATCGCTGCCACGCGATTCCACGCGACGAAGGGCGTTTTCCTAGACGGCTGTAGACTTACGCATTATGAGAGGAATACGGTAATCGCACGCGGTGTGGCCCTTTCTCGGGATGGAGGTGAGCATGAAAAACAAGTTTATTTGAGTTGCTCACCAATAAAATTACAACAATATTCAAAAGGATCCGCTCGAAACTTCCCCAAAGCCATTAGTGCGGTGGCAAGTTTCCATTCTGTACAGGAGCACAAGTCGTGGTAAGCAAACGCAAATCAGTGAACAAATAACCACCAACCTGAATAACCTTACTGGCGTCCTCCTGATCCGTCTGTTGTTTCCTTCTCCTTATGAAGTCTTTGCGCCGAGCTACTGGATCTTTTTCCTTGGTAGTACTTTGCAGAGAAGAAATGGACGAAGAAGGACTTTGACCAGCAAGGGTGCGCTGAAATCGGTTATTAGTGACAAAACACCGAAGCGATGCACAGGGAAGTGATAAGTGAACCAACTGAAGTGGGACAAGCGATGAGATTCCTTCAAAATAAAGAGAGAAAAAGCGGACGTTTGATGGAAATAGATGTAGGACAGGAACGATAAAAACTAGTTTTCAAGAAATAACAGCAAAAGGGCAATACAATTTCAAACCCCGGCAAAGCACACATACCTGATGTTCCAAAGAGAAATCAATGTTGTAGAATGCAAGCTTTTTTCGAGCTTCGTTCGGTTTAGGAGGCATGACCAGATCGTCGTTACTGCAAAGTAGTGAGATAACCATTGCTGAACATACTTTCTTCTGCCTACAATTTTCCATGGAAAACAATGGCTTAAAGAATAGAGCTTTCGCCGTTGATAGCCCTCTTTTGGGATACGACACGCATGTTCCACGCAGAATGGTAATGGCTATTGAATGCTATGTGGCCTTTACAATAACTTGCGCGCGCCAGCTCATGAACAAACAGCGCATGAATAAACAAGGGTTTTCGCTCTCCCAGACGAATCTGGTGTTAATTTGCAGATGGTAGGTATGCCTGGCCTGGGGGAAAACCAACGCGGGATCAACCTGCGCACCACGCCCATGTGGTGTGCGGGCTACTGTCCACTACACCTCCTGCGCCTTAATGCTCGAGATACGCCTGGAAAGCTCTTATAGCCGATCCCAAGTGGCTTCACAAATCCAAGCGCTCACAAAAAACGAACGTCTTTTCTCCTCACATGCAAGATAGTGAGTACAGATGCAAGGTTCATAAGCCATGAAGGTAACGCATTAGTTGAAAATATCAGGTAAAACTATTCCAGGTAGAACAGAGCATCGTTTAGAAAATACGTGGTCGCTGGGGGCTCCTATTTGGTCAAAGAGTCGTATCTGACTCTGAAAGAAATCCTTAAGAGCCGAAAAAATTTGGGGCATTGGTAGGGAGTTGGAAGAGTTTGGGAAGATGGCAGGTCGGATGTGGAAGGAGCTCCCTCTGAGGCTGCGTTTCACACTTCGCGACGGCAGTGCGCCGGTCGCGCGTTCGACGCGTGCGCTCTTGGCTGCATCGATCGCGTCGAACGCGCGACCGAAGTCCGAAGTCTGAACACTTAAAGACAGCTCCCGCGATAAAAGTGTCAAGGATAATTGCTGATCAATTATGAAACAGTAGCTGATAAGTAATTCCTCAATGAAGGAAAAAAGCAACAAGAGCCCTCAAGAACACCACAAACAAAATTGCTCCCTTACAGTCACACCTCCCTGCGGTCTCTGTGCAAGCCCTGGCTCACAAATCACTTTGTCACATCTCCCAGTAGTGGATATCATCGAATGCGAAGAAAAGAAAACAAAAACAACAGAAACATAGAGGAAAAACTCTTGAAAAGAAAAGGAAACATTCAAAAAGCCGGCGTCCGAACTTAGGGTTACGGTAGCGAGCATGTTTTAGTGTAGTGAAGTGCGTCGAGCTTTTGCACCACAGAAATTGCATCATTCGTGATTTTTACGCGTTTTACCTTACGAGATGGGTTGCAGTTGACTGTATGTGCTCCCAATGAATAAAATGTGATGAAGGAGAGCAGAATTATTTATGGGCACGAGCGCGGTCAGCAAAAAGTACATGCAGTTCCGATTAATGCCCGCCGTCCCAACAAAGAACAACTGAGCGGCTCTCCGTCAGAGGGCAGCTAGCAAGTGAGGCGGTCCAACTGAGCAGGCGTTAGAACTAGAACTTTGAGCGGTTGTAGCTCGCTCCTCGCTCGCTGAGGAGTCGCGAGAGTGGGACAGTATCTAGCTTGGGGGCTGAACTACCTGCACAAGGAAGGACGACCATGTACTACTCGAGCGCGGGGGCTGTCTTTAAACAGCACTGTAGGAGAAAATTAGGGCGGTAATCGTACTGACAGCATCATTTCACCCGCCCTCTAATGGTGTACCCTGATTAGAGGAGTAAAACAAGGAAACCTGAGGGAAGAGCACAAATACATAGGAGCTGCAGGTATAATGCGTTAGTCCTCAAAGAAAAAATTTGTGCAACTGTCATAAAGTAGTAGAATCGATCTGTGATTCACTTTTAGCCACCACTTTGCATTCTTCTCAACATTTTTCGTCATAATGACATCCAGTCACGCAGACACAACACCAAGGAGCATATAAAACCTGATTTTTGGTCATGAATTTGAATATTCCCCATTTGTTGCAGAAGAACTGTAAAGCACAATTGCTCTTGTCCCAGAGTTCAGGGACACTTTCTCATGCCACCGTTTGGCTAAATTTTTGGAGGGGGAAAACCCTGTAAACTTCCTGTTTACGGAAAGACATTGCAAAAGCCAAAGTTAAAGAATGAAAAAAAAACTTACGAACCTACAAAACAGTGTTTCCGGGGAAGCAAAGAATTGACGAAAAAAAACTTTAACGAATTCCCATAAAAACGTACGAGGTCAAAACCAGCAACTCACTCAGTGAGATCGAGTTCCTTGAGATCAGGAAGAAGATGGATACCATCGGGTAGCGTGATGAGCCGATTGTGGTTAAGACGAAGTCGCTGAAGTCGAACACACCGTGTGATACCCTCCGGTACCAACTCCAAATTATTTCGTGTTAGGTGAAGAACTATCAACTGCACGAGCTTTCCAATACCGCTTGGTATTCCTAAAAAGGGGTAAGAAACTCCTTATTAGTGCGAGAGGTTCAGACTATGAGGACGATTAATGCTGAACAAACCATCAAACGTGAGGCGGTTATCACTGGCGTAGAGCCTCTGCAACTTTGTGAGACGAACAAGCCCATCTGGTAGAGCCGTCATACCATTTCCGCTGATGTTCAAAGTTTCCAGCATTTCCCAGCTTCCTTCCGGTATTGATATTTTCTCGATCTTGAGAAAGGAAAGTTTCAATGAGGCCTTCATAGGATATCTATAGGGCCATGTTGCGGTCAGGTCGCAGTATTGTCATGTTCACCGCATGCGCACCACGACAATGTCCCTGTTCGCTGCCGATAAAGGAAGTTCACAGGACTGGATGAGTTTGGCGCGTCACCAAACCCGATTCTCATCAGCTGCTGGAGCGAGAAAGCAACAAGACTATGTCATATTTTTCGTATCAGTCGTTGCCAGCCGACTGTTGTCGCTTACCCCCGCATCATCAACTAATGGAGAACGGGTTTAGCGCCGCGCCAAACGCATCTCGCCTGAAACGCCCCTTCATTCGCAGCGAGCAAGACTGTAACTAAAATTGGAGACAAACTGTTAGCTCATCTCCGAGGAAAACCCTAGCCATGTGCAAGGAGAATAGGTTGGCAGCTGTCTACAAGTGTGACAATTTCGGCCCTCGAAAGACGACCCGGAAAAGAGGTTGGAGGGTCGTGATAAGTCGATGCTCTTCGTTTGCCGTCCCTTAGGTGCAGTAAACATCGATACTAAAGCCCTGCAGAGAAGAGGAATTTCGCATTTGGCTATAGTTAGGAATGCAGCTGCCGGTTACTCGACTCCGCGGTTTACCTGTGGGCGGAGACACAAAAGCCGTCAGCTATCACAACATTTCAACCCCATTTTCGCGCAATGAACAGCGACGAAAGTGTCACATATCTACAACTATAAAGGCATTCTCATCGCTAACGACAAGACCAGAACCGTCGGAGGTAAGCGTAGTTCGTCTTCAATGCGTTACAGCACGTCGAGTGCATTAGATAGTGCACATCGCCGCAACAAGGATCTCCTGACCAAGAATCAAAATTCGAATATGAGAAAAAAATTCTGTGAATATACCTTATTGCCACTGATGTCCAATTTCCTCAAGTTTTTCAACTTGAATAAAGCCTCAGGTATAGCAGGAAGATTATTTTCAGCAAAGTCGATATCCTGAACGGAATGCGCTAAGATCTACATCAACATCTGGAGATATCATTTCAATAGAGAAGAACTTACTCTAAGATTCTCTAGATCATCTAAGGATGGAGGAATGTTTTCGAGGGTTCTGTTGGTGTTACGCATGTGTAGAACTCTAAGGGAGGTCATGCTGAAAAAAATTCCATGGAAAAATGAATGATGTGACTGCTTGTGTAGATCATTAGGACGAGTTGTAGGACGAGTTGGCTCACCTTGGTAGCTGTTTCAATTGGAAATGATGAAGTGGATTATTCGACAGCTTCAGCTCCTGCACCATGGTTAGCCTTCGAATTTGAGGAGGTAGCATATCCAATTTGTTATTGGATAAATCCAAAAATAACAAGTCGATCAGGTTTGAAAACACCTTAAAAGGCAGGAAACTCAGAATTAAACTCTATGCCAAGCAATGCAACGAAAAGCTGTCGAAAAAAGAATAACCACAATTTCCCGACTGACCTGATTCGGTATATTCTCGATGTTATTATGACTTAGATTGAGAACTATGGCACCTTTGGCGTACTCAAGATTTGGAGGAACCTCTCTGAGTTGGTTATGTGAAAAGTCGATAATCGTCAAGTCTTTCATACGAAAAATATCCGTTGGGATACCAGCCGTTTTGACCTCAAATTAATAAGCCTTTTGATTGTGCAAAATTGAATGGTGAAAGTAGTGAATTGATTTAGTGGAAAATGAACTGGTGAAACTACAGTGGGTGAAAAACCAAACCAGCCTCTTCCACCACCCCCCCCCCTGCTTCCCCTGAAACGCTCCAGCCCCTCACAGCTAACGAGACTGTGCCCTCCATCAATTCAGGCCTAGCTTTTGTAAGAAAAACCTGGTGATTCCACCAACCGTGGCTTTTCGTTCGATAACGCAAATGTATAGGGATAAAAGAATAGTTCTGGCCGTCAAACAATCCCTTTTTGGGATGCGGCACGCATTCTACTTCCATTCAGAATCGTAGTGGCTTATTGAATGCGATGTGGCCTATACAATGACTTGCGGGGTCATGTACAAGTCAGTGTTTTATCCTCCCAGACGAATCTGGTACCAATTTACCGTCCCCGGAGGGTAGAAGGCTTGGTTGGCCTGGGCGGGAGTCGACCCGGGATTTGAACCCAGGCCGCGCGAGTGGTAAGCGCGCCACTTGTCACTACACCACCTCCTGCTCCCATGAAAGGTACCATGTGAAATATTTGAATGAGGCGGAACTAATGTGCCTGCCTCCTCGGGAGCATCTCGAAGCTGTTCAAGGAAGATCCAGCACATTTGCTAAGTTCTTTTACTAGTTCTACAAGTCAGAGTTCCTATTCTTCCAAACGAATCTGGTACAAAGTGTCTGAGGGTAGAAGGCCTAGTTAGCCTGTGCGGGAGCCGATCTGGGATGTGATCCCCGTACCGTGGGCGTGGTAAGCGTGCCACTTGCCTACACCACCCCCCCCCTCAATTGAAATGTATGAGGCAAAAAAATCCAACCTGGTTATGTCGAACGATTACAGATCTCAAGTCGCGGAAGATCAGAAAGCTCGCCATGAACGCTTGATAACGAATTCCTCGACATTTGAAGATGTTCAAGGTTTGTACACCGAGAAAGTTCATCCGGCACCTTAAATCTTCCATTGTTTAGTACCACAAAGAGCACTAGCGTTCTGCCAAAATGAAATAATTGGCTGAAAATCTTCTCACGCGTTCCAGCTTTGCACGATTCAATTTAAGCCATGTCATTTGTGTCATTTGCTCGACGGCATGGGGAAAGCGATCGCCCTGAAGTACGTGGAATCCACAGCTGTCTCAAGAGAACAAAAGAATTCGAATAAATCAAATAATCAAATGTGAGCCAATAAATTAAACAAACAACAAACTCACGGAGAAATCATTTCGAGAAAAGTCGATTCCTCGAATAAACGAAAGCACAGCAGTTGACATATTGACTAGATTTTCTGAGCGACTACTTGAACATCATACCTGAAAACGAAAAAAAATGATTAGAGGTGACGGAAAAGACTTAGAAAAGTGACGAATCGCTGCGCAAACATTGTTAAGACGTCATGGCTGTATCGACTGAATCGATAACATTAAAAGCTACTATCCAGCGCATTGATATTGGATGTCTTAGCAGACAAAATACAAAACAGAACTTATTTTGTCATCATTGCACTAAAATGTTAGAACAATGGCTGCGAAAAATTTTTGCAACACGAACGCTGCACTTTTCTGTGATCACACTAGAGACGCTTGATTTCACGACAAGTCGCAAAGCTAAGGTGTCGCTCAGCTGTAAGTAAGGGGAGCGCGAAGTGTGTTTTATATTTATTAGACAATAAATTTAGCCATTTAACGGCCCATAATTTTCATTATGCGTCAGCGTCATTATGTGTCCTATTAAAACTGCCGAATATTCTCACTTGCGAATGATCAGCAACTTAGAAGACATTGCGTGGGTTTGGTATGGTCACGTATTATAAGATAAAAAATCTGAGGCAAAATAGAAAACTTTAGAAAAATATCCGAGGCAAAACAGAAATCCTTAGATTTCAAAAGAACAAGCCAAGCCGTCCTATTTGAGAAAGTCAGTAACTTTGGAACGTTCGGAAATAGGTGCAGGAAAACTCCCTCCCCGATAGATGGGTTACCTGCCGAAAATCGGAAATCGTAACATGCTCTGTACAGCTGGGTGAAGGTAGGCATCATGATATAGCAAGTGTATAGAAAGGTGACTATCGTAGTCAAGTTGTTCCTGAGATAACCGAGTTCTGCTCAACTGTGACTCACTGTTACAGTCATGATCCCTGCAAACGATAGGGCGTGTAAGCGGAACACACCTCTGCCAAGACAGCCTTCTCCGCCATCTTGAGTCCGCGATGGTTGGCAGGAAATGTTATTCAGGCTATACTCCAACTGACATCCCTTCAAGGCCCTATCGTTTGCAGAAATCGTGATTACAGATTAGCAGAAAAGGTCCTCATCAATCGCAGATGTAATTTTCGCGTGCACAATATCAGCCAAAACTGCGAGCGGCTTGCTCTCTTCGGCTTTCATGGATAATCAGTTGAACCACTCAATACTGCTCCAAGATAAAAGCTAGTAGCCTGCGATTGGATCATTCCACCCCGTCATGAAATTCCAGGTCTTACTTCCTTCGAGGAGTACCTCCTCACAAGCTTTCAGCTCCATTGACTTCTGACACTCAACAAGGAAATGAAGGTCTCGGCCTTATGAAGCTTCAGCTTATACAGCTGAGGTTTGTGGCATTAATCAATCTGTTTGGTATGCGCCATGCATTCAACTCCTCTTGGTATTGTAGAGGCACTCGAACAGGAACTTGGGCACAAAACATTGTGCATTTTTTTGAACAACTTCAATAGTGTTGGCACAGAAATAGAGGAGATTTTTTACTGAGGAAAGAATTAGTCATCAGTACATCCATTACAAACTGGTGAAAAAGCGGGCATTACACTTCATAAGCGAACGGAGAGATGCGCCGTAGTGACCACTTCGACTTATTGTGAGAAATATTGATGGCCGAGAAGAAATAGATACTAATCAAAGCTCGGGACAACTTAAAGGCCTAAAAGATCAAGTATACGGCGGGTTGATCAACCCCAGATAAGTCTAGGCCTGGCTTACCGGCTCGGCTCCGGGGAAAACAAAGGTGGACACGAGCGATATGGTTGTGATCTTAAATAAGAAGTGGGCAAAGTTCACTAACTAATATCGTCTTCCTGTTTCCCCCCCCCCCCCCCTTCCCTCTGAAGTTCGTCGTGAGGGACAGAAAAACGTTGCTCATGAAATCTAGAACTTCTGTGCCCTGAAGGTAAGGTTGTTCCGAGATCGACCTATAAGAAACGGACTATAACGACGTTTTCTCAAAGATAGATGACTGGTGTCTTCTACCTTGAGAGCGTCAGGGAACCTGCACGCATGGGACTCAACCGTGGAAATTGCGGCTGTGGTTGGAAATCGTGCCCGACAGTGGTGACAGACAGCTCTCCTCTGCATGAAGTCACCGCTAGATCCAGTCGAAAAGGGCTAAACAGGTCATATTCCATTACTGTTATGCTTAAACAAAGTATCTTGATGAGAAGCAATGGCACGCCGAGGAAAAAGCCTAATAGTAACACTATGAGTCAGTTCCCGAAGAAAATTAGGCGAATCATCACCCACACTTGGTAAGTTCAGGCAATTAAATCGATTCATGGCAGGATTTTTTCGTGGATGACAAAAATAGGAAATAATCAAGTAGCAGGTTGAGTCCACTAGAAAACGCAACCTACGAACGCGACCAAATACCGAGTTAAGCAAAGAAATATTTGGGGCTGGTGAAGTTGCCACAGGGCATAGCATCGTTGGAATAAACCCGTGACGGGGTCGCATATAGTTGTTGAAGAAGGGGTCGAAAGAATAAATCGGCTGGGAGAAGGTCATCTGACACCAACATTTCTTACATCTCAGTGCTATACCCTGAGTATGGAAGCAGTACCACTTACCAGGTCACGGGTCAATTCTGTGTCGTCTCTCGCCCGAGCCGGACAAGCCTTCTTTCCTCGCCTCTTGGAGTAGGAATACTCCCAGACGAGCCTGGTAGCCCAGAACTGCTACCAGGCTCGTCTGGGAGTACGGAAACATCTCTTTGTACACGCTCAGCCTCTGTGCGCCATTATATGGACTAAATTGCCCTCAAAACACTGCTGTGATCCTGAAAGGGAGTAGAATGCATGGCGCATCCCAAAGAGACCGACCGAGGAATGAAGCATTATACTGCTAGTTTTCGGAAGAACGAATGTGAGTCGCGTAGAAACTGGAACTGGCTTGTATGAAACCTAGTGTGAAAATGGTCATACTTGGAATTTTTTGTTCAAAAGCACTGAGAGCTGAGCACATAATTTACTGCAGTAGTTGACTTATCTAAACCGGGATACTGACTCATAGTGTTACTATTAGGCTTTTTCCTCGGCCGTGCCATTGCTTCTCATCAAGATACTTTGTTTAAGCATAACAGTAATGGAATATGACCTGTTTAGCCCTTTTCGACTGGATCTAGCGGTGACTTCATGCAGAGGAGAGCTGTCTGTCACCACTGTCGGGCACGATTTCCAACCACAGCCGCAATTTCCACGGTTGAGTCCCATGCGTGCAGGTTCCCTGACGCTCTCAAGGTAGAAGACACCAGTCATCTATCTTTGAGAAAACGTCGTTATAGTCCTTTTCTCTTATAGGTCGATCTCGGAACAACTTACCTTTAGGGCACAGAAGTTCTAGATTTCAGATTTTTCTAGATGAGCAACGTTTTTCTGTCCCTCACGACGAGCTTCAGAGGGAAGGGGGGGGGGGGGAGGGAAACAGGAAGACGATATTAGTTAGTGAACTTTGCCCACTTCTTATTTAAGATCACAACCATATCGCTCGTGTCCACCTTTGTTTTCCCCGGAGCTGAGCCGGTAAGCCAGGCCTAGACTTATCTGGGGTTGATCAACC